TCCGACACACTGACATTTTGGGAACCAGAACAATGACACCCTAACACTTGAGGGTCCAGAACAATGACACACTGACACTTGGGGGTCCAGAACAATGACACACTGACACTTGGGGGTCCAGAACAATGACACACTGACACTTGGGGGTCCAGAACAATGACACCTTGGCACTTGGGGGTCCAGAACTATGACACACTGACATTTTGGGAACCAGAACAATGACACAAAGACACTTGGGGGTCCAGAACAATGACACACTGACACTTGAGGGTCCAGAACAATGACACCCTAACACCTGAGGGTCCACAACAATGACACACTGACACTTGGGGGTCCAGAACAATGACACCCTGACACTTGGGATCCCAGAACAATGACACCCTGACACTTGGGGGTCCAGAACAATGACACACTTACATATGGGGATCCCAGAACAATGATACTCAGTGGCCCAGAGCAATGACACCCTGACATATGGGGATCCCAGAACAATGACATCCTGACATATGGGGATCCCAGAACAATGACATCCTGACACTTGGGGGTCCAGAACAATGACACACTTACATATGGGGATCCCAGAACAATGACACCCTGACATTTGGTGACACCCTGACATATGGGGATCCCAGAACAATGACATCCTGACACTTGGGGGTCCAGAACAATGACACACTTACACATGGGGATCCCAGAACAATGACGCCCTGACACTTGGGGGTCTAGAAGAATGACACCTGATACTTGGGGGTCCTGGGATGATGACACCCTAACACTTGGGGGTCCAGAACAATGACACCCTGACATTTGGTGACACCCTGACATATGGGGATCCCAGAACAATGACACCCTGACACTTGGGGGTCCAGAACAATGACACACTGACATATGGGGATCCCAGAACAATGACACCCTGACACTTGGGGGTCCAGAACAATGACACACTGACATATGGGGATCCCAGAACAATGACACCCTGACACTTGGGGGTCCAGAACAATGACACACTGACATATGGGGATCCCAGAACAATGACACACTGACACTTGGGGTCTAGAAGAATGACACCCTAACACCTGGGGCTCCTGGGACGATGACATTGGATGGTATGCCTCTCTGGTAGTACAGCAGTGGTTATTTGGTGATGCATTCTCTTCTCCCAGCAGTCAGATCTCATCTCTTTTCTCTCTCTCTCTCGTTCTGCTGATTAAACGTGTAATTTGGGTAAAGCAAATGGCGCATCAAATTAGTGACCTCACACAATCATTGTTAAGGGAAGCATTGAGCAGGCAGCCTCACGAGATCCTCCTGTCTGTGATCAGCTATCAGAATCCTATCATTGTGCCTAGATTGATGGAACCCGTTTCAGTCTATTTCCAGCGCCTGCAATGACACAGCCGAGCAGCAACTGCATCTGGTAGGATCTGATTGGATGCAGTCACTGTCCAGCCAGCAATTTTCTACCAGGCTCAGACAATTTTACATTGAATTTTGTTGAGCTGGCAGCTGACAGAATTTCAGCTGTTTTCTAGAGAAATCAGCCCAAACTCACATTGATCTCAGTATGAGTGTTTGCAGCAGCCATTGTGGGACTACAAGTAGCAGAATGCCTTTTCTACCTGTTAGAATATATTGCCAGTTGTCAAACCATTGGAAAATAATGCATATAATTTTGGGCTCACAGCAGCAAGGACAAAGCATGCTGGGACTTGTAGTTCACCACCTTTTTTTTTGTTTTGTTTTTTTCATGAAAGCCGGCTCAGATTTGTAGTTCTCCAGCAGGGATGGGCAAGCTGTGGCCCTCCGGCTGTTGTTGGACTACAAATCCCCTCTGCCGTAACTGTCAATCTTCCCATCACGCCTCTGGGAGCCATGCTTGTAACTGTCAGTCTTGCAATGCCTGATGGGACTAAAAGTTCCACAAAAAACAGCTGGAGGGCCACAGTTGGTTTACTGCCATAGGCTTCCCTCAGTGTGAAGGAGATGCTGGGACATGTAGTTCCACAGTGCTGCTGCCTTGCACACATTATTCATGGTATATATGTTGTCTGTCACGCTGCATCCTGTGAGCGTGTATTAATATACCGTGATCCCAGAGGTAATTAGCATGTCATTAGTGACAGACCAGTTGAGCATGCTGCTGTATTAACCCCGACCGTCTGCAGAGACTCCTCGGAGGTATCCTCATATATGGCGGGGTTGGGGGGGGAGCAGAATGTTTCCTCTGCCAGTTCACCCTCCATCCATCCCCTAATATAGAATGTCAGTTTATGCGGAATACTCCGAACGATGCGGATGGATGGGAAGTATAAACAAGGGGCCTATTTATGAAAGCGGTTAAATGCCATTTCTCATGGGAAATGTCACTTCCTGCAGTTGTATGAAGCTGCTGTGGGCAGTTGGTGATCTCATTTCCCCGCACTTCAACAAAGGTAACAATATTTCAGTAATCCAAATGTGTCGCCGGTTCCCGCTGGCGTTCTGTCGGCTTTGTTGTTGATAATATACATCTCCCTATACTGGGCACGACCCGACCATTAGAGCGGCGGACTGACTCTGCTGAACGTGGCTGTGCGCCTTTTACCTTTTCCATCATTCTCTCTGCTTTTCCTTCGTCTCTCTTCATTTCTCATGTCCTAAAATGTGGCCATAACCGCTATACATTAAACGCCATTTATTTTCTGGTCTTTATAAATAGGAGTCGGGTGTTTGCTTCGTAGTGGCGGTACGGCGCTATGAAAAATGGGCAGCGCTGCAAATGTTGTCTGCTGTCCTTGTACCCACAAAGCGAAAGCCTTACTGCGCCCCATTACATATGCTTACCCTATAATAGTCATTAAACCGCTTCGGGGGCAATTTAGCAAACAGGTACTGCGGAGGCAAGACTTTGGTCAGGAGTATGTAATGTATGGCACAGTGATCAGGAAAATGTGACATACCATATACATTGCAGGGTGAGCCCCCTTCCACAAACCACTTCATCAGACTTCTCATCCCCCTTTCTTAAAGGACCTTCACATCAACTCCTCCTTTAGACCTTCGAGAAGCCCCCTTTCACATACTATGCCTTCAGACTTGACCCCCTCCAGACCTCAGTTTACCCCCCTTTTTCCACCTCTTCAGACTTCAGATCACCCCCGGTTTTCTCAAAATACTCCTTCAGACTACACCCCCCTATTGACCCCAAATTAGACTCTCTTTAGACCTCAGATTAGCCTCCCTTTAGACTTCAGATTAGCCTCCCTTTAGACCTCAGATTAGCCTCCCTTTAGACTTCAGATTAGCCTCCCTTTAGACCTCAGATTAGCCTCCCTTTAGACCTTCAGATTAGCCTCCCTTTAGACCTCAGATCTGCCTCCCTTTAGAGCTCAGATTAGCTCTCCTTTAGACCTCAGATCTGCCTCCCTTTAGACCTCAGATTAGCTCTCCTTTAGACCTCAGATTAGCCTCCCTTTAGACCTCAGATTAGCCTCCCTTTAGACCTCAGATTAGCCTCCCTTTAGACCTTCAGATTAGCCTCCCTTTAGACCTTCAGATTAGCTCTCCTTTTAGACTGCAGATCAAGCCCCCTTACTTCAGATTACCTCTTCTGACCTTCAGATCAGCCCCCCTTTAGACTTCAGATTAGCTCTTTGAGACCTCAGATCAATCCCCCTTACACAAATTATCTCTTCTGACCTCAGATCAGCCCCCCTTCCACAAATCATCTCTTCTGACCTCAGATCAGCCCCCCTTATACAAATGACCTCTTCTGACCTCAGATCAGCCCCCTTCCACACATGATCTCTTCTGACCTCAGATCAGTCCCCCTTACACAAATGATCTCTTCTGACCTCAGATCAGCCCCCCTTATACAAATGATCTCTTCTGACCTCAGATCAGCCCCCCTTCCACAAATGATCTAAAGGGGGGGGGGGGGGGGGGGGGGGGGGGTTTCTGACCTTAGATCAGCCCCCCTTATACAAATTTCCACCTCAGACCTCTTATCAGTCTCCCCTTTCACAAATTACCTCTTCCGACTTCATATCAGCCCCCATTTTTCAATTTACCCCTGCGGACTAGCCTCCATTCGGACCTCAGATCTAACTCCTTGTACATATTAACCTTTCAAACTTGACCACTTTAAACCCCAAATTAGCCCCTCCCCTTCACGTCTTAGATCAGTTTTCTTTTTAGACCTCAGATCAGTTTCCCTTTAGACCTCAGATCAGCTCTTCCACAAACAACTTCCTCAGTCTTCAGATCAGTCCCGCTATGACAAATTATCTCCTAAGAATAGCCCCCCCTCAGACCTCAGATCAGCCCCACCTTCAGATAAACTCCTATCAGACCTCAGAAAAGCCCTTCTATGGACCCCTGATCCACCCCTTTAGACCTCATATTAGCCTTATTTCAGACCACAGAACAGCCCCCCCCCCATCCGCAAATTACCTCCTCAGATTAGCCCACTTCAGACCTCAGATTAGCCCCCTGCAGACCCTAAATAGCCCCCACCCCCTTTAGACTCACATGACCCCTTCCCCTTCATTGCTCAGATTAGCCCCCTTTTAGTTCTCAGATCACACCAGCCACAGTGGTGTGGTTGGAAGGTCTGATATAATGTCCATACGTCCATCCTCATGTACAGATAACAAACACACCAGGAGAAGACTACAGGCTGGCAGTGTACTGTTTGATATATGTGATGGCTTGCAGCAGTCAGGGGTTTAGGGGTTAACAGCATGATGAGCATTGCCGAATATCAGCCGAATATCAGACGTCCTCATCTTGGCATGCAGATGATTTCTGAAATGCTAACATTTTGCTTTGATGGATCTAACATTCTTTATTACTTTAGTAAATCAAACCCTATTGTGTGCAGTGATGCATTCACTCTAAAAGAGATCGGAATCATTAATTACGGGTTTTTATTAAATCCCAACGTCAGATACAACAGAGTGAACATTTCACTTGTTAATATTATATTTCATTTTGTTTCATTATTATAGAGTCCCAATTGTCTCCAGGATGTTCTGGTAATTTCCATCTTTCTATTTGCAGTACAGAATCGGGCAGCTGTACATGATCAGCAAGCACAGTCATGAGCAGAGTGACCGGGGCGAGGGAGTGGAGGTGGTCCAGAATGAGCCGTATGAAGATCCGGTCCACGGCTCAGGACAGCTGACCGAGAAGAGGGTCTACCTCAACAGGTGAGAGGTCCATCATTCACGCTGCTCTCAGAATTCTCTTTTCAGGCCAAGTTCTAATTCCCAAATCCAAACTCAACATAAAACCCTCCAGTCAGAGAACATTAAAAAAAAAGGCAATAAAGGTTTATTTTCCTGATCTGGTATTGTAAAGTCACATTTAATGGATCACCTTGGTATGCTGTCAGGGCAGGGCTGTGGAACGGACAGGTAGGCCTAGTGGCATAGTAACGCATTGGCTGACGACAACCACCACCAACAGACCGAAGTCCCTCAGGCGCGGAGTCTAAGTCCCAGGCTGCCCCTTCACCAGGGCCCCCTGATGGTGGGATGGACTTGACGCAGCCCGGAACCAGGTCGCGGCCCCCGAGACACCCCGGCTGCAGTAATGGCCGCCGCCAATGGCGCGTGTAGCTGGTGAGAATGACAATAGCATAGTCAGGCAGGCCGGGTCGACAACAACGGGACAAAATGGTACAGAACAGTAGACAGAGAATCACAGGTCACGGGCCGGGTTTTCAGCAACAGAATTCAGATCGAAGGAAAACACACAGAGAATGGTCTTAGTCACAAGCCGAGTCAGATACCAGAAGAGTCACGAGCGTATACACAGAGCTGTAGCAAGACAAAGACACAAGTGTAAAGAGCATGTGCGGATCACAGGCTTATATGTACTCAGCCACACCCCTCTGGGGGATGGACCTCAGAGACCTGAAGGCATAAAAGATTTCCCACCATGCTCAGCAGAAATCCAAGATGGATGCCAGCACATGGAGTAACATAACCTCAGGGAAAAGGTAGGACCTTGACATATGCTAAATGAATCTGAATCCTAAAAATGTTCCCTTGAACAAAGAATGGCCACGATGGAGTGTACGATGGGGTGTACATGCATTGGCATGTCTTTGTGGTTTTGTGTGATCCCTTCTCCTATCCCCTGTATGTTGAATGCATATCTGTCAGAAATTAATGACTCCAATTCCTTCAGACCAGGCAATATGCTTCTCAGAAGGACATTGGGTGGCTGAATCAGTCTATTTGTGGCTGGTGTAACTAGTGGTGATATTGTTTAGCATGCTGTTTTTACAGACATAGGTGCAACTACCTCTTTCAGATAGTATACTGTTATTACTATTTCTGCCACTAGGCGTGTTGTGTATGATTAATGCTTTATTGATGTAATGTTCTTCCCAAATGAAACTACATGGTTATGATGTCATTTCCTGTCTCTCTGTTTTCTAATAAAGCTGTAAGGGCTCTGCACCATCTTGCCTGGTAAGAGTCATATCTGTAGATAGATCCATTGGACATCCTGGTCCTGTTTTAAGGCATTTGAGGCCGTATTAATAAAATGATGATATTGATGTTTTAGCATCAGAAATAATGATTAGAATTGTTTCAGTTATTTATAAAGCTGATTGGGAATAATTCTTGGAATCCTTACCTTACTTTTAGTAGTAGTGTTGTACCGTGTTGCCCTCAAAGTTTAAAGTGGGATTAAACTTAAAATAAAAAAATTGTTGACAGGTAGATTTTAATGACAGAACAGGCCTGATTGGTCATAAACCGTTTCCTCCTGCCTGTCAGCATTTGTTGCACACCTTTTAGGGCACGACTCTGTACCATGACGAGGTGAACTTCCATGTGCATTTGCCGGAGTGACTTCATCACAGCCCGGCCAACCAAGCAGCCAAAGAGTTGGAACCTGGAAGGAAGACTAGGAGACAATGGCAGCACCTATGACTGATAGGTGTGGGAATGACATCATCTCTGCCCAGCCAACCAAGCAGCCAAAGAGTTGGAACCTGGAAGGAAGACTAGGAGACAATGGCAGCACCTGTGACTGATAGGTGTGGGAATGACATCATCTCTGCCCAGCCAACCAAGCAGCCAAAAGGAGGCTGACTTGGAGAAAGGATAGCAGCATCTGTGACCAATAGGTGCCAGAGTGACATCATCGTAGGCCCAGCCGACCAAGCAGCCAAAGAGTTGGAACCTGAGAGGAAATTTCACAAGAAGATGGCAGCGTCTCTGACCGACAGGTTGCAGAGTGACATCATCACAGCCTAGCCAATGAAGCAGCCAAAGAGTTGGAACCTGGAAGGAAGACCAGATGAAGGTGGCAGTGCCCTTGACTGATAGGTGTAGGAGTGAAGTCATTGCGACCCAGCCAACCAAGGAGCCAAAGAGTTGGAACCCAGAAGGCAGACCAGGAGAAGATGGCAGCATCTCTCTGGCCAACAGGTACCAGAGTAACATCTTTGTGGCCCAGCCAACCAAGCAGCTAAACAGTTGAAACCTGGGAGGAATGTTTTATTTCAATGGAGGAAAACTAAAAATGTTTACGTTCTGTTGTTCTGTTTTTGTTTATTTTCTTTGACATTTCCTGGTCTTTTACTTCCATGTTATAATTTTCAGTGTCAGACGACATAAAATTGTAGGTGAGATTTCTCCGGCACACCAGTCAGGGGATGGCAAACAAAGGAACAATGATTTTCCCGACTTCTAAAGACAGGCGTACATCACATGAAGATGTTAATTTGTCTGTGTGGCGGTGAGATTAGGCGCTGCCCCGCAGAATTCTCAGCAGGTGGGATCTGCATGAGTTAATGTACGGTGACATCTGCAGATAAGGCGCCCTGCGCGGCGCGGCGCTCCTGGTCTCCGTCTTGTTGTATCTGAAGATTGCAGGGTTCATGGCCCCTCTAGTGCTGAATACAGCAGGACTCGGAATTGGCTCGGAGCCGCTCGCAGAGAATGGAAGGCAGGCTGACGTTGGCGGTGACCCCGGAGGATGGCACATTGTGGGGACTCAGCACCAAGTTCAAGGGCACAATAGATTAAGAGAGGAGGCTTGTCACACTCCCCGCCCTGACAGGCTCCTCAAGGGACATCGTGTCTCTCCCCATACTCTTCCAGGGTCAGATCTGCTGAATCCACAATTTCTGCATCGCCGTTCATCCCTCGCAGCGCCTACCGCAGGCGGGTCAGGCACGTGCGCGAGGTCATTAATATCATTTTCACAGCTCAGCGTGTTCGAGACACAGCGCAAATGCCCCGATGTAAGAATTTCATGGGCGATGTCAGGAAAATCTGCTAACACAGTCTTTAGCTGTGAGCTCATTAATACATCCTGGCTCTGGTGCCTGAAAATGGGGTGTACCTGAAACAAATACATTGTTGAAGCTCTGCTTTTCTTGCGGTTGCAATGCTACCTGAATTCTGGCAGCGTTTCACTCACAATGGGAGTTTTTCATACGCCATGTTCAGTCATCTGTAATTCTCCTTTCATTGCCATCAATGGCGGTTCTCCGACACGTGGGTTTACAAATCCCAATGGAAGGCAGGAAACACCCCCCACTCATTCACGTTTCATGTTCAGGTTTAAATGGCCTCTTTCTGGCCAGCACCCTGTTCTGTCCGTACACATGTGCTTCTTATACTAGCCATACACAGCGCACATTTCAGCATACTCCTGCTGGATCTCCCCATATATGAGCCATGGGGGCCTGTCAGCAGCAGCTGTCTCCATCAACTTCAATTGGAATAATGAGCCAGGGAAATTGTCAGCGGAACAGTGGCTGCATCCTGTCAGATGTATCCTCCTATGTGATGTATCCTCCTATGTGATATATCCTCCTATCAGATGTATCCTCCTATCAGATGTATCCTCCTATGTGATGTATCCTCCTATGTGATGTATCCTCCTATCAGATGTATCCCTCCTATCAGATGTATCCTCCTATGTGATGTATCCTCCTATGTGATGTATCCTCCTATCAGATGTATCCTCCTATGTGATGTATCCTCCTATCAGTGATGTATCCTCCTATCAGATGTATCCTCCTATGTGATGTATCCTCCTATGTGATGTATCCTCCTATGTGATGTATCCTCCTGTCAGATGTATCCTCCTGTCAGATGTATCCTCCTATGTGATGTATCCTCCTATGTGATGTATGTCCTCCTATCAGATATATCCTCCTATCAGATGTATCCTCCTATGTGATGATGTATCCTCCTATGTGATATATCCTCCTATCAGATGTATCCTCCTATGTGATGTATCCTCCTATCAGATTATATCCTCCTATCAGATGTATCCTCCTATCAGATGTATCCTCCTATGTGATGTATCCTCCTATGTGATGTATCCTCCTATCAGATGTATCCTCCTATCAGATGTATCCTCCTATGTGATATATCCTCCTATCAGATGTATCCTCCTATCAGATGTATCCTCCTATGTGATGTATCCTCCTATGTGATATATCCTCCTATCAGATGTATCCTCCTATGTGATGTATCCTCCTATGTGATGTATCCTCCTGTCAGATGTATCCTCCTATGTGATGTATCCTCCTATCATGTATCAGATGTATCCTCCTATGTGATGTATCCTCCTATCAGTGATGTATCCTCCTATCAGATGTATCCTCCTATGTGATGTATCCTCCTGTCAGATGTATCCTCCTATCAGATGTATCCTCCTATGTGATGTATCCTCCTATCAGATGTATCCTCCTATGTGATGTATCCTCCTGTCAGATGTATCCTCCTATGTGATGTATCCTCCTGTCAGATGTATCCTCCTATGTGATGTATCCTCCTGTCAGATGTATCCTCCTATGTGATGTATCCTCCTATCAAATGTATCCTCCTATCAGATGTATCCTCCTATGTGATGTATCCTCCTATGTGATGTATCCTCCTGTCATATGTATCCTCCTATCAGATGTATCCTCCTATCAGATGTATCCTCCTGTCAGATGTATCTCCTATGTGATGTATCCTCCTACCAGATGTATCCTCCTATGTGATGTATCCTCCTGTCAGATGTATCCTCCTATCAGATGTATCCTCCTATGTGATATATCCTCCTGTCAGATGTATCCTCCTATCAGATGTATCCTCCTATGTGATGTATCCTCCTATCAGATGTATCTCCTATGTGATGTATCCTCCTATGTGATGTATCCTCCTATGTGATGTATCCTCCTATC